CGATACTCCGTGATAATAACCATGCGCTTTATTTTTGCCCATATTCGAACCGGTATTAGCATCTTTCTAGAATAACTCTTTAACCTTTAGGGAAGTCTGTGAGCCAGCCCATTTTTCAAAATTCCATGTTCCGCATCCTTTCTAAATGAAATTTTCTCACTATGGCTAATAGTACTACTCGCGTTTGTCAGTAGCATGATTTTACGCAACGATACGCTCAGAACAAAGTTGACGCCACATCGCCTTTCCTAGCATTTTTAAATATCGTTACAGAAAATCTACAAATTTACTGTATTCTGTGCATCTACGACTCCATCATGAAATCTTATACAAATTAATCTGCTAAGCATGGGAGCATTTTGAAGGAAGAAAAACGAAGAAAAGTGACTACCAACAAGCAATTAGGAGACCTATTTATCGCATTGTTTTTCGTCATGGAAGAGTGTTCATAAATCCCAACGGACTTTATTGCACTTATAGCGGGTAACAGAGAACACAATCATGTTAATAAAAGAAAAGTGACTACATCGTTCCTTCAGTTGCGCCTGTTTTATAAAAAAGCATGTGTTTTTAAGAATGCAAAATATCAACTCCAGATTTCAAAAATAGACATCAAAGTGAATGATAGAATCGACACCATTCACGGTAGACCTCCTCGTAATGTGGTTCCATATTAAAGACCTCCTTAAGACATTGATTTAACCTTTGACGAAAACTTGTAATGAAGTCGTGATTCTCTCTGGCCAGAAAGGTGCATACTTTGACACTCGGGTGTGCCTCCACCGCCCGTGGTAGGTAGTCGCAGAAGAAGGCGAACCATCCGAGACAGAGGTTTTGATGTGAATGTGGCATGTGCATGACTGAGGCGGGATTTTCTGGAATGTCTTTGATGAACTTCAGTCCCTCAATTGTCACCAAGAGAAGCCAATCTTGAAAGACCTCGGTGGTGAATACATCCGGTGGTTGTAAAATAGACTGCATGAGGCTTTGGACAATAGGTAAAGTTGAAAAGGGATCAAAGTCCATTGCTTTTAAGGCATTGTATTGGGGTTCGTAAGTTGTCGATCCAATTGCTTTGTCCGTGCACATTGTGCCTACGGAAAATGCAAAATAATTATCTCTAATGCTTTCAAATAATATCAGCCATACAATGCTGTTTTTGAGTAATAAAATACCTTCTCGAGGCGTAGGAGTCGATTCAAAATGAGTCTGAGATTCCTCAGGAAGGTTCCAGTGGACAAGGGAATTGCCCTCGGCAATTTCATCCGTCGATTCAGTCAGCACTGGCAGTTGGTGGGAGGGGAGGCTCAGATGCATAGCCATTGATGGAATTGGCGGATTCAGGCTAAAATCTGTATTATATTGTAAAATAGAAGTAAAAATAACGATAAGATTGGCGAATGCGAATGCATCAAAGACAATAAAAGACAACAAACGTTGGGAAAGTGCAATGTAAGCTCCATGATAGTCTGTTTCCAATAGGTGCCAACGGAGGTGTTTGAATCCACCAAATTTGCCGTCCGATTGGACGTAAAATCATCAAAGCAGGCGAAGCATCTCACTTACTGGTTAAGCTCACTGCCAACGGCATTTTCTGCCAATGTCTTCAACCAAGTGTCAATGTAGGTACAGAGTGAATTTAACTGTGAACTTGAATTACTCAAGCAACTGTCCCCGTTTGCCTCAAACCGGAATGGGATCGTAAAGGCCATGGAAAGGGTGATAACTGAGGTGCCGACTAACCTAATGCTTGAAGGAGGTCCAACTCGGTGTGTTGTGCTGTCACCTC